CGGTAACAGATGCTATTCCTCTCACACACACAGCAGAGACAGCACACATCCACGCTGGCTGTGAAAATGAAAAACCTCCTCGGTTACTGCTGGTAGGAACTCCCCCAGAAAGTTACTCATGGTAGTCCTCCCTAACATCCTACTTTTGCTCAACTCTTACAGCAGAGCGCACGTGTGTGCACACCCCCAGCTCGTCCTGCACTCTCCCTCACCAGAGAGTGCAGAGATGTGCTGGAATGCCACAGCAGCTGCACGGGAGCTGCGCGACGAGGAGCCAGGGCTGCGAGGCTCGGGGCAGGCACACTCTCACAACGGCAAACTACTGAAATCATGTTGCTAATTTTGCTGCCTTAGCGCACGCCGTGCGCGTCGGCTGACCCCACCTAACACTGCAGGGCAGATTTTTCCAGCGGAGGGAAAAAAAAAACACCCTTGCCAATAAACTGCACTACAATAACGAAATCCGAGGCAGGACAGGGCATGATTTTCTGTTTTTTTTCTGCTCCACCAAGAGAGCTCACAAAGGCTGCTCTAAGTATAAAAGCTAATTACTTGATCCTCCACTCTAAGGTACCACTTAATATTCCAGTGATTCCAGCGCGATTTTATTCAGCCTTTGAGAAAAGGTTTGTGTTAACAGTGGAGAGTTTATCCCGTACCAGTTTCGAGAGGCTTGCGGCTGCCTGGCAGCCCACAAAAGCCACCAGGAACCACACTCTGTTCCACCAATTTGTTAAGATTTTGGGGAGTGCGTGTGGCTTTGTTGCCATTAACTAGCCTGGTTATTGCTCTCTGAGGTTACGCACCACGGGGCTATAAAGCAAGCTCCGCGGCTGGTAATTAACACCAGCGTGCTGCCGCTGCGAACGCACTCTGCGCTTGGAAACCTAGACCGAACCAAAGCCCTACCTGCCGGAAAAATAACCACCGGAACCCAAATCCTGTTAGCGTGAAATTACAGTAACACGAGAGGAGGACAAAACCAAGGCGGAGAGTGCTAGAGATAAAAGTTCAGGGGCGATGAACAGAGAGGTTTTGCCGCTTCCCTCGCCCGAATCCGATGGTTTGGATGACGAAAGGAAGGGAGCAAGCACAGCCCAGGAATTCG